AACTCTGACGACCATCGCAATCCTTTTAGCGGACGTTTTAATCAAAAGTAATGCACCCCATACAAAAATATAATAAATGAAAAATAAGCCGGCGATGAAAAGACGAACAAAATTCTGATTATGAATAAAAAAGGAATAAAATTAAATAAAAAGGCGAAGAGAGAGAGGGAGAAAGATGGAGAAAGAAAGGAGAGGGAAACAGAGAGAAAGTGAGAGAGAGAGAGAGACAGACAGAGAGGAGAGAGAGAAAAAAAATCGACCTTATTCATAATATCCGAAATATAGTGATCCCCCTGAAGTAGAAGCGTGGCCGATCTGACGTCATTTTTTTTGGCCGCTATGTGAAGCGCCGGCAATCTGACCTTGCCCTTCGAGTCATTTTCAAGAAGGAGGGCAACGACCTTGTCATGACCTTGTTGCAGAGCCACTGCTAGCGGTGTGAATCCGTCCTGTGTGTGTAAGTTTTTTTACCACTACTACTACTTTCTACTACTGCTACTGCTACTGCTACTGATGCCACTACTGCTACCACTACTGTTGCTATTACTACAGCCACAACAGCCACCCACTTCTGTAGCCAATCCTTGGTTGGCATTGTTGTTGAGTAACAGCTTGACGACATCGGCGTGGTTTTCTTGGGACGCCATATACAGCGGTGTAAATCCATTCTATAATATAATTATCATTGTTTAACATTTGAGTAGAGATTTTTGGCTGGGCAAGCCTATGATGAGCTTCAGCTCTTCATTTATGTCAAAAAACTGTTAAAAGTGTTAAACTTTAACATGAATCAGCTTGCATTAGCATAGATTTGCATAAATTAGCATGAATTAACCTGCGACTGAGCGTTAACGGTAGCACCGCGGCTGATTAGCAGCTTGACAACATCTTCCTGGCCGGCCAGTGAAGCTATGTGCAGAGCTGTGTTGCCCTTCTGATTGTTCAGACAACAACAATACTAACAATAATAGTAATAACAAGAAGAAGAGGAAGAAGAGGAAAAAAAGGTAATAAAAAGAAGAAGGAAAAGAATATAAATATTATAGAACATATGTACATTGGTTAGTTAATGTTGGTCATGCTCATTTAGGTACAAACTACTATGAAAGTTACTATTGATATATGTTGAAGGCTTGTATTTCGAAATACACGCACCGTACAAGTAAGAATGAATAAATAGGCAATATGTAACCTTTGTAACGGCATTCACATCAGCACCGTGATCAAGTAGCAGAAGGGCTAGCTTAAAATGGCCCTCTTTTGAGGCCAAATGTAGGGCATTTAAGCCGTTCTGTGATTGATCAGTTGATTATTTGGTGAAAATAAATTTATCAAATATGATTGGTTGGTGAAAATTTGTCCATTGGTAGGCTAGAACAGCAGTTCAAAATTGATTGGGTAGTGAACGTGGTTCAAATATGTGATTGGTCAATGAATGGTTGGCCATTGAATATATAAATCAAATATGATTGGTCGGTAAAAATGGGGTTAGTGTAATTGTTAGTTATAAAAATGTAATTAGTTAGGTTATAATTAGTAATTATGTAATTATGTCGGTAACATTGTTTGAGGAATCGATGTCGAGACCGCTATTGAGCGAGTCCAGTATTCGGTCAATGTTGCCGGCCCTTGCTGCTCTTAAGAAACTCGATATGCCGTCATTCTGATTGAGTGAATGAGTGAGTAGATGAATGAATGAGTGAAAGATTAAGCGAGTGAAAGATTAAGTGAATGAATGAACAGGTGAGTGAGAGAGTGAATGAAACTGTTTTTATATTACTTTCAATTAATTTTCAAATAAATGAACAAAAATAAGCGCTGAAAACCGGAAACATTTTTTGCAACCGTAACTGAGAGCAATTTCGATGAAAAAACTGCCTTTCAATTGATTTAAACGTATTTAATGCACGCGAGAAAGAGCAGAAGGTACAAACTTTTATGAAAGTCAACGAGAAGTTTTCAATATCAACAACCAATCATCATCACCCTCATCTCCATCACCATTTCTACAACCACCATCATCATGATCATCAATAACAACATTAGCAACATCATCACATCAATAACAACATCAACAACAACATCGCATCCATAACAACAACAATATTATCACATCAACAACAACAACATCACAACATTAACAACAACATAATGAGCGTATCCACCGTGAGCCAAAAGCAGTCTATGAAATCAATAGATTCACCGACAACAATAAAACAAACATTCAAACAAACGAACGAACAAACGAACAAATGAACGGAGGAACGAACGAACGAACAAACGAACGAACAAATGAATCAACACGTATATACAACGGAAACTGCAGAAACTACCAAAAATTTGTCATCAAATTTCTAAAAAGAATTCCATTTTCAAATTATTTTTCTTCATTTTTGAGTCAAAATTTTTGACAAGTTTAGCAAAACTTTCAATAGTTTTATCATTTTATTTTACAATTTTCACAAAAATTTTTGAAAGATTTTACAAGAATAATTTTTTTCAAAAGATTTCACTTTAGTGGAGTTTTTGTTCGCGTGCTCCATCCCTTTTAGGTGTATTTCTATCTTATCAGATGGCCGTGGTTGTTGTTGTTGATAATATTGTTGTTGTTGTTGTTGAGATTGCTGTTGTTGTTGTTGCTGGAAGTTTTGTTGATGATAAAATTGATTCTGCGTAGTTTGTTGATTGTCGCAACCAATATTAACGTTTGTAAGTTGATGATGCTGTGTTTGATTGTGTTGTTGATGTTGTTGTTGTTGCTGTTGTTGTTGCTGTTGTTGCTGCTGCTGATACATTAAGTGTTGCTGTTGCAGAAATTGTTGTTGTTGTAAGTATTGTTGATACTGTTGTTGCTGCTGCTGTTGTTGTAACCGTTGCTGCATTTGTTCTTGGCTCATTGTTGTCTCCATTATTGTTGTTGTTGTTGCTGTTGATTATGATGAAGCTGATGATGTTGTTGTTGTTGTAGTTGTTGTAGTTGATGTTGCGATTGTCGGTGATGCTGTTGTTGATGTATTTTTTTGATTTTGCTTAGCACTATCCACCTTACACTTTACAATACAGTTACATTACATTTATGAACGACATGCCTAGAAAATCTAAGCCGGCACATTTTACAAATTACGGGACAATAATACATATATTATATTATAATAAATTATATTATATTAAAATAAATTATATTATTCACATTATATTTTTATTATTTGTTATTTTTGTTATTATTATTGCTGTTTTGCTGCTATTTTTATTGAAATATCAATTATTGTTTATTTATTATTATTAATTTATTTATAATTTTTTGATCCAAACCAGACCGCAACTCTCCAATCAATAAGAAAATCTTTATATATATTATGAACCATAACAATAATAATAACAACAACAACAATAACAATAGCAGTAATAATAATAATAACAATAATTATAGCTATGATAACAAAAATTATTGTTATAATAATGATAATAAAAATAATATAAATGATTACAATACTAGAACGTGATGACTACTATGATGGGAGATTGATAATAATAGACATCACATTTTGATGGTACCGCAAAGAATTTAACATCAATATTTGTACAATACACACATGCATACACACATACATACATGCATACATACATACATAAATACATACATACATACATACATATATACATACATGCATACATACATGCATACATACAAACTTAACGTACATACACACATTGTCGTCCTCGTCTTATAGCATTCGAGGACTGGACAATTTAAATGAATTTGTCTACTTTGCATTTGCTCGTGTACGTAGGCATATACAAACACACACACATACAAACACACATACACACACATACACAAACACACACACATACACACACACTTGCATGTGTACCTATGAGATGACAATAATAACATAAATATCACAATTACAGTTGTTTACCACACATCTGATCACATATGAATGTTTCAATTTTCTTTTTTATGTACGCACATACACTAGATTATTGCGAAAAGAGATGCATACATACATACATACATCATACATACATACATACATACATACATACATACATACATACATACATACATACATACATACATACATACATACATACATACATACATACATACATACATACATACATACATACATACATACATACATACATACATACATAAATACATACATACATACATACATACATACAAGCATACATTCATATATACATACATACAAATAAATAAATATACAAACAGTTATACACAATTGTATGCCTATGCATGTTTGTATGTACAAACATCAAGTGTACACACACACTCTTCACATTTACATATTCTAAGGTACTGCCAATCATCCAGTATGCACACTGTTTACACATATACACACATATGTATATAGAAAGTGAAAGAGAGAAAGAGAGAGAGAGAGAAAGAGAGAGAGAGAGAGAGAGAGAGATGTGAATCATTTATTGATCTGTGTGCGGCCTACAAGCTTGCTGCCTGGATGACTGGATGAGGTCGAGAAATGATGACGATGACGATGATGAGGATGATGACGACGACGACGATGAAGATGATGATAATGGTGATGATAAGAATGATGATTATGATGGTGGTATCAAATGTTTATGGAGCAATACCAGCCGCGAAATAGGAAAGCTCGTTTGCGATTTGTAAAATTTGAAGTGGGACACTATTTCCACTTCATCTTTCGAATTTTTTATTATTTTTTCTTTTTTTTTATTTTAGTTCTTGTATATATTTTTTGTTTTTCAATCCATTTTTTTCTAAATTTTTCTCAAGTTTCAAGTTCTAAACAGACCTTATTAATTTGCGTATCTCAAAGGCTCTGTTGAAAACGTTCAGACCCGTGAATCAGCAGCATCAGCAATAATGGTTGTATTATTAAGTGGTGTGGGTTTTTGGTTAAAAAAAACCGTGTGTGTGTGTGTGTGTGTGTGTGTGTGTGTGTGTGTGTGTGTGTGTGTGTGTGTGTGTGTGGAAGAAGAACAAAGTTATTTTTGTAAAGATGTTTAATATTTTAATTTACCAAAAAAGATGATTATACTTTTACGATTTGGATTCATAATTTCATAAATTATCAAACATGCCAAATGAACTTTTATAGATAAAAATTGAGATGATTAAGCAGTTTTCTATAAAAATGCTTAGTCAAAGTCTAACGAAATAAATTTATAATAATTAAATAAATTCGATTCAATTTCATCAATTTATCAAACAAAGATCTGTTTTTAACGTTTCAGACTGACATTTTAGGTACATAAATGCTCGTTTAAACATTTTAAATGGTATAAAGTTAAATTAAACTATAAATTGTTTTTAATTTTTCAGTAAAATTGGCTTCTATTTATTTAAAAGTTTAAATAGAAAAAACATTTAAAAACAAGTTTTAGAAATATAAATTGTAAAAAAATATAAAACACTAAAAATGACATCAAAATATGAGGGAAAAACTCAAAAGGTAATTTTGAAAATTCATAAAAAGTTATTTTTTGATACAAAAAAGTCAATACGTCTCTGATAATACAAAAATTACATAGGTACACTAAAAATTCCCTCTAAAAAAAATCAATAACTTCAGATCCTATTTTTGATAATTTTAATAAAGTTTAATTTTGAAAAAATACAATTAAAACACTTTTTTCAAATAAGAATTAAATTAAGATAATATTTTTAAAAAAATATAAGTGGCTACATTATTTTAGAAATTGATTAATTATTTAAGATTTGATACGTGTGTGTATACGTTTGTGTATGTATGTTCTGTAATGTATGTATTTCTTTGTTTTTTTGAAGGCATGTTAAGGTCTTTTAACCTTTTAGTTGACAAAAAACTTTTTAATTCAAATAACTTAAATTATTCAATTTGTACGAATAACATGATGAAAAAAAGGCTTATCAATTCTTTCCAAGCAGAAATATTATTTTTTGTCATCATCTAAGTCATCGTCATCGTCGTCGTCGTCATCATATCCTTGTCATATTTGAATTATTTTTAAACGTACTGTTGTTTCTAGCTTCTGGCAGGTTACTAATTCATCTTCTTCCTTCATCTTCTTCCTTCATCTTCATCTTCTTCCCCACCATTTCACGAAACAACCACATCAGCGTTTTAATCCATTATCCAAAGGTTACAATTAAAGTATCAGTTTCTCCGCACAGTTAAGTCACAAAAAGTTACACCACATTGCATTACATCGTATCGCATCGAACTAACGAATTGCATCACATCACATTACGACATCTCATGACATCAACCGATGCTAGCATCTCTCGACTCGCCAGCGTCCACTCCGCTATCCCCCGCCACACTATCAACTCCACTTTCAACCGTGCCAACCCCCTCTTTATCTTCATCCTCATCAACACTCCATCCACCATTGCTTAAATTTGCTCTTCTTCCCAGCGCAGCATCACCACCAGCTGCATGTACTTCATTTGTAACAGGAACATCATTAGGAAGAGGAGTGGTTTCTGTGGATGCGTTAGCATCTTCATTCTTCTCCAAAGCTCCGTCGCTACTAACACTACTCATCGATCGCTTGGCAGCAGCGGCAGCAGCATTTTTAAACGCGCTGATGACTTTTAGCGGATTCAGCAACTTAGCCCGAATTTTTTTCGTCTTGTCAATGACCATTTTATTTTGAGGGTCTATATTCAAACCAGAGGCATCTTCAATGAGACGGGCTTTCAAGAAACCTCTCATGATGGCGTCACCGACGTACATGTACTCGCCTGTTACTGTATCCCTGAAGGCCCCTGAGTCCCTGTCGATGAGCCCCCTCTTGACGGCTTCGTGAAAAGTGACGGTCTTCTTCAGACGCCTGTCCACCACGGCCCTCACTGCGTACGTTTTGATGATGGTTTCTGGCTCTGGGATACTCTCGTCTGGGTATTCTAGTTTGGCCAGATCTGATGGAGTGTGTGTGTGTGCGTGTGTGTGTTTGTGTGTGTGTGTTTGTGTGTGTGTGTATGTGAGGGTTGAGTTGTATTGCAAATTTCAAAAATTTCAAAGATTTGAAATTTAAGTGTTTTGTTAGCAGATATTAACGCTACTCAATTTTGTTCTCAGGAATGTAAATCAACAAAAATTTGCAGCAAAAATTTCATCTAGCCTTTTTCGGCGGCATCCACCAGCATGTGGACATCTCCATTCCTAGCATCAATGAAGCATCCCAACTTTTCATCGAGTATTCCTTTCGCGCTGGCCTCGCGAGGTTCCAAACTCTCTCCAGTCAACGTATTTTTCACCCAGAGGACGGTGTACGGTCGAACCGTCTCTCGAACCGTCTTAATGGTGATGATGCCAATGGATGAAAATTTTTCTTTCGACCGTTTTGTTCTGCAGTGTACCACACGGATGAATCCGTCTGACATGGCGGTCGCAATGGCGATCCTCTTGCCAGTCCTTCCGTCTACGTAGATCCCATCGGCTGGGATGATAATCCCAAGCAGGATTGCATCTTGTAAGGATACTTCCTTGTCTGTTACAATAATTTTTAGTATTAACTTTACAAAAAAATTTTCAAATATCTTCTTCAGAGAATGAAAATTGATTCGCACCATCCTTTCCAGTCTGGTCGGCTCCTCGATGTATGACGCCTCCAATCACGAACGTCTTGCTCTCCTCAACTTCAGCAGACGACAACTCCTCTGTCTCGGCCGTCTTCGTTTCTGTAGCAATGCCGAAAGCCGTACCTGTTGTTAGTTTGAATATGAACTCTTGTAATTTAAATGACTAAAACATTGATTTATTTGTAAAATATCAAAAATTAAATAGTTAAAAAGACTTTTTTACTGAAACTTTAAACTTTTGAAAAATTTCCAACCTTCATAATCACTTCCTGAAGCTCTACTGAGCGAGAATGCATCATCATCAGTTGACCACTTTTCTCCACTTTCACTGGATCTAACTTGTCCAGCTTGCGTCAGCTGGCGACCAGAACTTGTGATTCTATTTTCCACGTGGTCAATGTTGCTACCGCTACCGCTTCTTTCAAATTTGGTGGTTGTAGTTAAGTCGTGAGTGTCCTCGAAGCCGAATTCTTGGGTGGATTGGTTGATTCTGATGTTGTCATGTTTCTCATTGGCTATTTTGATGTCAGTTGCTGCTGTGGCTGATGTGGCTGCAGAGTCTGTCGCGTTGTTGTTGTCGCCCTTGAAGTAGCTATGACTCGAGAGTGCGTAGCCTAAAATTAAAAGCAAGTTTTGTCGTTTTAAAAATTGTACTAAATGAATTTGTTTTCAAATGCAAATTTTTCCAAAATTTGAAACTTTAATCTTTTAGATGAAATAAATATAAGAACCAATTTTTAAAACGTCATTCGAATAAAATCAGTCTTAAAAAATATTTCAGACTCAACGAAAATTTTATCTTCACTCACAGGTCTCATCGAACCCTCCAGCTTCCAACTTCTTGAAAAGGTGATCGACAGCATCCTGGCCCCCAGCACCCCCTCTGCCATCTTCCGGACATTTAATTACTCTACTCTCAACAACTTTCGTCTCACTGAAGCCACACTCCCTGGTTTCAACGTCTCCAATCGTCTGCTGGTTTTGATTGAGATCAACGGTAAATCTCACAGTCGGGAAGGTAGCTTTCGCCATGATTCTAGCGCAAGTCACGTGGTTTTCTTGTGGGAGACCGACGTTAAATTGGATCTGATCGTCCAGTGAAGCCAGTTTGATTTTCGCCGAGTGGACTGCCGTCTTTGGGACGATCGTGATTGTGGCCGATTGTGGTCGTATGTTTGGCGCCGGTGAGGATGACGATGAAGATGCCGATGATGAAGTTGCAGCTGCGGTGGACATCTCGATGGCGTCTTCAAATTGAATGCCGTCCATTGTGAATGTTCGTGCGTTCATCAGCCGGCGTTCGTGTTCATTCAGGGGTAGGTTCATTTTCCAGAACCTCGAAAGGTCGTATGTTCAATTCTCGTTATTTGCATTGTGGTTATTGCTACTTATCTCGTTACAACTATTAAAATTTTAAAAATTGAAATAGTGAAACAAGTAAAAGAGCGGAAGACAGATGAGACCAACTTCGAAAAATATTCCCTGCTGACAAACTGTAGCTGTTCCCACTTATCCACAATCATCATGAGGTCAGGAGCCTGTGAGGCCTCTATTTGAACTTTGAACTTTTCCCAGTTGCGGTTCAAATCCTAGAGAAGTAGGTAGAAATTGATGACGACGACGACGATGATGACTGTGATGGTGACGATGACGACAACGATGATGATGACACACTGACCTGATAGATGTTTATAATCTGACCGAGTGTCTTGATCTTAACGATCATCGTCCTACATATATCTTTGTAATCTGTTTCACGCAAAGTTTTTTGAATAAATTAATTTTGCATTTCATTCATTCATTCATGCATTTCTCTCACTTTCTGAAGTTTCATCATCTCCCATTTCTTCTAGAATCATCCTCAGAGCTGACACCCTCTCCTGAATGCTGACGAATCCCTCATGGTCGGCCCAATGTTTTCTGAGGGCCTCCTCCACCCTGGTCAGTACGGACAAAAGTTCACTTTTAGTTATGTCGTTCATCTGCTTCAGGGCCGTTATCTGTTTCCGGTTTGAAGTTCAAGTTGGATGGTTCGATTGTCGATCGTTTGAGAGGTGTGAAATTGATTGGTTGGAAAACTCTGAATTAAAAACATCTTTTTGGTTGATTGTATTAATGATAATAATAATAATAATAACTTAATAACTTAATAATAATGATTATAATGATAATGGTAATAAAAATAATAAGTTAACTCTACCTCCTCATCATTGTAATCTGGCTGGAAAGCTGTGATGGTGTAGCATATAAGTCGGACCCCAACTCTCTTCAGAAGGTTGGTCCATGTTGCAAGAAGGTGCAGTCGTAATCTTTGTGGTTGGTTGTGGTCGGTTATGGTTGGATGTGGTTGGTTGTGGTTAGTTGTAGTTGATTGTGGTTAGGTGTGGCTGGGTGTAGTTGGTTTTTGTAATAATAATAATCTCGCTCACTTGTCAGCTGCATCTTGGCACTTTTTATCAGGTCCCGGAATCACGATGACCAATGAAGGCACGTACCCTTCTTGGCCACGCCCATTTTTTATTTTCCAGCGATCTGATTGGCTGTTATCCAGTAACAATATCTCTTCTTCTCTTTCCACTTTTATCTGATTGGGTGAGAAAAAGTTATTTTTATTAATATTAAATATAGTAAATTGTAATTGAGTTTTCAAACTTTGAATTAATAAACTTGATAAATAAATAAATAAAGTAAAAATAAGTTTAATTACCTCGTTCGTTTCATAATCTGTAAGTACAGTAGCAGGTAAGGGGGTAAAAAGAAGATTCACCCTCTGGGGTACGGGGTTCAACTTGTTCCCATCGTTCCATATTCTCGTAACCTTTGACCCCCACTGTCTCAATGCCACATTTACGGCCTGTTTAAATCGAGGTGGGGTCGTTTTTTGGGGATTAAAATTTGAAATTATCCGATATATATATTTTTTAAAAAGTGATTTGAATCGGGTTTAAACTCACGTCAATATCTTTTATAATGTCCTGAGGGTCGCCAGCGCGCCCCTGGTCCTCCCGCGATGGATGGTTAACCTCGAAGTGACCTTGAAATTTTTTCAAATCCCCATCTAGCCAGGTAAAAGTTTCTTCGACCTCGTGGAAGAACTGCATTTATTACGATCCGTTACAATCCGTTACTCATTTATTACAATTTGTTACAATTCATTACGGTTCATTACAATCTATTACAATCCATTGCAATCCGTTACAATTCATTAAATATTCATCATAATTCATGAAATAATATATTATAATCTATGCAAATTTATGAAAATTAGGACGCCACCTTGTGATAGTCGGCTGCGTGTTTCAGATGGATGGACGAGCATCTGACCGCCTCGGCTAACCACTCCCAATTGTCACGCAGACCGAATATGCAATCCTGATGATAGTTGTGACGTTGTTGTTGATGATGATGATGGTTGTGATGATGGTGATGACGATGAGGATGATGGTGGTGGTGATGATGATGATGGTGATGATCATAATAATAATAATTATTATTATAATAATAATGTTGTTCTCGTTGATGATGATGATGAAAATGTTGACGATGATTTAAAGGAACATGGGAGTGAAACCTTACAACAAGTTTGAAGACATCCTCAATCAAAATTAGGTTTAATTATAATAACAATGATAATAATAACAATAATAATAATAATAATAATAACAATAATAATAATAAGTCAATCAGTTACGCCTCAATAAAACCAAACTCCTATGTTAATTATACCTGAGCGGATGTTGAGATGAAGCCGGCGATGTTGTAGTTGCTGCTGCTGCTGCTGCTGAATTGTTGGTTGTTGTTGTTATTTTTGTTGTTATTATTATTGTCGTTGTTGTTGCTGATGTTGTCGTCGCAATTTTCAACAAGTTCACTCAACTCAGTTGCTCGCCGATCGAAGTTACACGAAAGTTGCTGAATGATTTTTTGGAGATAGTATTAGAAAAAGAGAGAGAGAGAGAGAGAGAGAGAGAGAGAGAGAGAGAAAGAGAGAGACACAGCGAGATGGTCATATAATTATGATAACAACAACAACTAATTAACATAATTTATTATTATTATTAACATAATTATCATCACTCACGTTTATATTTTCCTCCAATTGCGAGACTCTCATCATCGTCTCCAGGCAATGCAGTTTCTTCTTGATCAGAGTCTGGCCATACAAAAATAATTATTACGTACTATGACGTCATTATTACTAATATTATAATAATTATAATTATTATTATTTATTATAGTTATTATTATCATTATAACTTTCACTTAGAAAAAACTTACCTTAAGTTTCTCATACGCTGACAGTAATGTTCTCCTCTGATTTGAATCGTTAGACTGCTCGATGATTGATGTATTATTGTTACTATTATTAATGTTATTGCTATTATTGCTATTATTATTATTATTATTATTATTGTTATTATTATTATTATTATTATTATTATTATAGTATCATTATCATTAGCATCGCCATCGCGGCCATCTTTTTTTTACGAACAACAATAGCAACGTTATTACTGTCAGCAAAGGCCTTACTCACATTCAACATCATCATCATCTTCACCATCATCTTCACCATCACCATCATCTTTATCGTCATCATCTTCTACAGCTTCATCATCATCATCATCATCAACCACCGCAACAACCAAATCATCATCATCATAACCTTGGCAACGACATTATCAACGTTGTGTTGCCATTGTTGTACGTCAGATTTCAACTGGTTAAATTCATGTAGTCCCTCATTGATATGCGTGTAGTTGTGGGGGTACCTCTTCGTTGATACGTAATTCTAAATTGTTGATGTTGTTGTCGTTGTTGTTGTTGTTGATGAAGTTGAGGATGTTGTTGTTGTTGAGGATGTTGATAATAAAGAAGTTGATGATGTTGTTGTTGTTGTTGACGATGTTGAGGAGAATGTTGAAATTGTTGATGTTGTTGATGATGTGGTTGTTGTTGTTGATGTCGTTGTTGTTTTGATAGCGGTATAAAAACAATAGAAATTAAAGCAAATTAAAAATATTTTTCCAAAAACTTTCTCACCGTTTTGTTGTTAATCCATGAGATGACGTGTTCAAATGTTGACATCTTTGTTGTTGCTGTTGTTGTTGCTATGTTGCTGTTATTGTCTTGTAGTAGTTGTTGTTGTTGTTGCTATTGATGTTGTTATTTTAATAAGCCGTTATCTTTCCGTTAATAAAATCTGCAAAAGAAATTAGCAAGTGACATCTCTGTTTTATTTATATACACATACTTACATGTAAGCGTACACACACACGCGCGCGCGCACATTCAAATACACATGCACACACGCACATTCAAATACACATACACGAACATACATTCAAATATATATATACACTTACAAACAAACATTCATTCATTGTTAATGGTACTAATACACTAAACAAACAATGTTTAATGGCTGGTAAACATTGCCTAATAAGAAGAGATTTTTATGGGGTCTCTATCAAAATGCAAAAAGCAATTGTTTTTACAATTCTACAAAGTGCAGCGATGATGAAGAAGATGAGGATGATGAGGATATGATGACGAAAAAGATGATGAGAATAAAGAAGATGAAAATGATGATAATGATGATGATAATGATGGGGGTGATGATGGTGGTGGTGGTGATGAAGATGGTGGTGGTGGTGGTGATGAAGATGGTTGTGGTGGTGGTGATGAAGATGGTGGTGGTGGTGGTGATGAAGATGGTGGTGGTGGTGGTGATGATGGTGGTGGTGATGATGATGTAATAAAATGTTTACTTAAACTGGAGTTTGGTGCGTTTTGTTTTGTTATTTGATGATGATGACGTTGAAGAAGAAGAAGAAGATGATGATGATGATGATGAGATGATGATGATGAAGAAAAAAAAGAAGATGATGATGAGGTGACGATGGTGGTGGTGATAACGATGATGTTTCTAGAATTTTCTCAGACTAATTTCTCTCTCACGCGAAAAAAAATGAGAATCGATAAACATTCGTGTTTACATTCACTAGAGATTCATCATTTCATAATTTTAAAAATTTACGGTGACGTCATGGTATTGTATTTTAAGAAGCTTTTAAAAATAATTATGACGAAAATTATGACGCAATAATAATAATAATAATAAGAAGAAGAAGAAGAAGAAAAAGAAGAAGAAAATGAAGAAAATGAAGAAAAAGAGAAAAGATAAAGTAGAAGAAAAATAACCATAATTCATTTTTTTGCAATTTGTTCTAATCAAAAATCAAATTTTTAATGAAAGTAAAAAATGGTTCGTCAGAAGAAAAAAAAACTAAAATATATCTCCCGCCAAATTGTTTCACAAAGTATTTCCAGTCGAATATTTCCCGCCAAATTCTTGGAATGTGTCTGCGATTTTTTTTTGGATTAGTCACGTCATACAATACGCGCCGAAAAGAAATTTGTTACTATCATTATCTTCAGACATGCTTTTTTAATTAGGATGGTTTTTTAAGAGAGAGAGAGAGAGAGAGAGAGAGAGAGAAGAAATAAAGAGAGAGAGAGAAATGGAAAGACAGAGAGAAGTAAGGAAAGACAAAGAGGCAGAAAGAAAGAAAAAGAGAGAGAGAAAGAGAGAAAGAAAGTTTTTTTATCTCTTCTTTTGTCTGAGTGTATTTTGCATCAAAAGTTGTTAATTGAATCGTTTCTTATTGTTTTGTTTTGGTTTTTGTTTCCAACTCTGCTGGAGCGAGCGTTCCAGGTAATTAAGCAATTAAAGAAACATCAACAGAGACATTCATTCTGTGAGAACATAACAGAAAAATCGATCAGGTCTGTTTCGCCTGCAATCTAATCATAATCTCGGCGCACACACAGACAAACACACGCACACATGCAGAAAAACACACACACGCACGCACGCACAAACACACACTGCAACAACTGCAACATCAACCACGACAACAAAACTACAACAGAGCGAACAACAGACAATTTAAGTGCAGAACACATTAAGACAGGAATGTTTCTGCTAATAACAAAGCAGAAACTTTTACCTAAACTCACACACGCACAAACAAACATAGAACATCTATTTATAGTAACATGATTGCCTCAGACATTAAATAATGTTTTTTATCGCTGAACTTTACATTGATCAAGATGAACTAATTGATCGTTTTGTGCCTCGTTATACATACATACATGCTTATTGTTCGTGTAATCACATTCGCATGCATACTTACGACCAAACAAACAAACACACATACAAACAAACAAACATACATACACACATACACAGATACAGACAGACATATACACATATTTTTCTGAAAGACTCGGTTTATTTATACTTGCATTGAAACACACACTGATTTATACTGCACATTAACTTTCTCTCTAAATTTTTAACTCTCAGATTTTTTTCTTAATTTTTTTCTAGCTTTTTCTTTTTTTTCGGTCTT